TGCTATATATGTTAATATAATTGGTGATGTCAGAAAAGTTTGGTAAAGGTTTAATGAATTCAGGACTCTAATGTATCTAAATCTGAATGGAAATTTTTATCAAACCGTAGATATAGAGCAGCAATAATTCATCTAATGTTGATAGCAATTCATTTGGTGTTAAATCATTATTAAGATCTCTCTAAATCTTTAAATCTGTAAAGCTTTCACTAATAAATAGCAGTTGTCCAAGCCAGTTGCTATTTTTATTTGTTATGCTGTTTTATTTGTTATTATATCTACAGTAACTGGGATATAAACTTGTAGTAATTGCCCTACTGGAGAGGAGCTAGCTTGTGATGCATTTCATCTGATTCAGGGGAAAGTGAGTCTAGGGGCCAAATGCTTTCCTGTTTTATCTTGTGTGAAAGAAATACTTACCTGAAGTTTGGACACCAAACATTGACTCAGGATTCCAATTACATTTGTGGATCAATTACAGGCTTCCTGTGCTGTTGTAACAAGTAATTTAAGTGATACTTTCCTTCAGTTTCTCCTGTATATAGTGCTTTGCCAAGGCATTGCAAAGATGAAATCCGCTGCTAATTTGTGATCTGCATTGATTCTGCAGCGTGAGGGCCATATTATCACATAGATGAGTTGTCAGAAATCTAATTATATAAAATTATATAAATATAATTATATATTATCTAATTATGTTTTCCTGAATAACTTCACAAATATAAACTCTTTGTTTCAGAAATTAAACTTGTATGCCAGCTAAAGCATGAGATTGACAGCCAGTAGGGAATTGGGTTGGGATAAAACCAGTTTTTGTATTGCTTAGAGAAATGTACTTTTCTTTCATTTCAAAAGAAACGTGAATCATAGTGTCTGTGAATTCAGCATGTCTCATATGTAGAAGTTTATTTTAGAAACTATGCTCTTATTTAAAAATGGAGTGTCAAATATATGCCTTAATGAAGGATGCCTTAGGGTATTTCTTGGCTTTGATTTTCTCAAGCAGGAGTATTGATTGAGTATTGATTGACTGACTATTCTCCACCATGAAGTAAATCCTCTCTCAGAGTTATATCAGAGTCACTGGACACCTAGAAAAGGTGGAGGCACCAGGCATGTTTCTCTAGATAAGGACACATTATTTAGGCCTTCCTAACATATTGCCAGCATTAATTTGTAACTTCCCAGGGTGTAGCTGTGTGGATTTCATTAGCCAAATGGTTATAGTAAAACATAGGAAAACTTACACCATTTTCCTTGTTACCATTTGTATGTGAAAAATATTCTTTGCTCTTCTACTTAATTTCTTCATTTTATATAAAGACGTGTGGTCATATTTTTTGAAGACTGAACAATTTTTCTCTTTGTGAGCCCTGTAGTTAAATGTTTAACCAAACTCTAAATGAAATTATGATTTGTATCTCAGTAAGAGATAGCTTTAAGTCACAAAGAAAATGTGTTGTAGGCTTGTAAGGTGTGTTTGTGATGAAATAACATCCTAATTACTTATTAAAGTGTTACATAACAATTTGCTAATTACCTATTTGTAGAATCATAGAATTATAGAATGGTTTGATTTGGATTGATGAGGTATCCGGAATTAATTTCAGCTCCAGTGTTACATTCTTTTACTGATTACTTGTAACTGTGAATTTAGCTAAAAGATATATAACTGTGTGCTATAAACATTTAAAATAGTACTTTATTCATCCAGGGATTAATTTAAAGAGCATGGTTAATTCTCATAATGCGTGAGAGTGGACTTAAACTTGGGCATTAGGCTTTAGATGGAGTTTTGTTTCATTGCAAATCGTAGCATTGGACTGACATCTTTAAGCCTAAGAAGAATCTTTTGGTTCTGGGACTTAGAAATAGGTCCCATGTATGGTATATCCACTGCATGGCAGCATTTCTACAAAAGGAGAGCTCTCTTTCTAGCATGGAAAACGTTATAGAATTACAGAGAACCGATTCTGAGGTCTGCCATTTTTTTGTTCTGCCATAAGGGACAATAAATTGTGTCTTAGTCATGTCTGCCTTAGTCATTTCTGATACATTTGTCTAATGTATTCTTTCCTTCTCCCGCTCCTTTTAGTAATTAGCAGTGTGACAGTCACTTAAATATACTCCAGTAAATCACGGGTACTGTCTCTAGCTAGCTATTGGATGGATGCGGAATTAAAACCAAAAAACTTTCTTTAGGCTTTTGCAGCCCAAATGTCAAAAATAGTTTTGGAAAAGCAGCAAAAGAGAAAGGATCATTTAAGAAGGATCAGTACCAACTGTGCGCATCTCAAATTTCTGGTAACTTTTTTCTTGGCCATTTTTCAGTGTTTTATTATAGGGTACGTCCATGAGATAAGCCTAAACACAGATATTGGGCATAAAATCTCTATTTCTTATTCATGACTGAGAACTGGGCTTTAGAGGAAGTATCAGCTTCAATAGCAAAGCAGGATAAAGGCAATTGACAGGTGGTCTAATGAACGCCTCTCCCTATCAGTGTTGGAACAACTGAGTTATAACTTGTAAAACTGTGTCCACAGCTGGACTTAATTCTCAGTGTGGGAACATGCAGGTGCCCAGGCAGAATCAGGTGACTATTTGTTTTTTAAATACACCAGACCATGTGCTAGCTTAAAAACATTTTTATGGAAAGCATGGATGTAGCTCAGTATTTGGTACCTTAATAGTGCTGGCGTCAGTGAAATAGGTACCATGTAGTCTTTAGGAGACAGACCTGTCAAAATATTTCATCTGTGGTTTAAACATATCTGCTTTCATTTTGAGCTGAGACTGACATCTGTCAGATTGTGTGGTATGGGGGAAATGTGGTTTAAAAGTTACAGGAGCAGATGGGATTCCGGGATTTCAGATGAAAGTGAATGGGAAGGTCTTTAAACCAGTAAATTCATTAGGTTTTCACTCCATTGTTAAGCCTATTGAGTAATGTTTGTGGAGATTAAGAATTCTCAATAGAAAATAAATAAATGGAGAAATATAAATGTATAAATTGCAGCAGTAAAATGCTGATTAAATTGATGAATGCTATGGTCAGGATTCCTCTGTTCTACTGGTCCCATGTATCTGCTTAGTACTTGGGAAACTTTATTATAATTTGCTATCAATTATATTAATCATGGTTTCACGAAGGATCCGTTGTACCATTATCTAATAATGGCAGATCAAAATCCGTATTGCAATTGCAATCTTTCATTTTCTGTGTCATAACTGAAGCTTACTAAAAAAAATTGTGTTAACTAGCATTATTTTGTAAAAGAAATTATTTTCATGTGAGGTTTATTAGCACCAAACTCTTAATATCATTGTCTACATTATTGTCTTCCATAAAACATAGTGATGAGATACTTAGATAGCAAAAGTTTTTGGTTTTATGCCAAAGTTTAAATCAGCATTGTAGAGGTGAAAAACTTTGTTATAATACTAAATTTACTGCTAAGAAACATTTTTAGAAAAGCATATTGAAAGATTGAAAATTCAGTTATATTAGCAACAGTGTCTCTTTAAAAATGTCTGAGTAATACAGGTCTGCTCATAAATGTTCAGATTCAGTCAATGGCCAGGTTAGGGATATTACAGACTTGAGGAATGATCTTTTTCTTTGTACTTTCTTACTGTATCTGTAGTTCATATATGCATTCTGCAGATTTAGTATTGCTTGCGTTCTTGAAATCCTAACCCTAAGAAATAAAAGTAAAAACTACTTCTATACATATATTATGTGGAAAAGTTAGGGGAAGTTCATTGTTAGGCAAGGCCTTGTGGTTAACTGAGCATTATATATGACTGTTGCTCTCAAAGTGAGATGTGCTGTCTGCCTGGCTGACTTGCCAGTTACTGTCAGCTGTCTTTGTCCTTATCTGCACACATAGGGTGAGAATTTGAGTGGTGTTTGACAAGCGTAAACAGTCTTGAGGTGTTTGTGATTATAACAACTTTTTTTCCTAATGAGATTAATGTTCTCATCTACTTTCAGAGGAAATTTGTTTTGGTGGGTTTTTTCTTTGTTTTTCAGCAGAAATAGAAACCTAATACTATATGAAAATACAAAACAGGGAGACAAGACATCTTGTGGACTTAACAATAGTGACAGGAAGTCTTAGAAATTTTTGAGCGGTTACGAAGTGCTTACTTAACTGCTGGAATTAAGGAAGAAAGTTGTAAGGAAAGTATCATAGTACTCTTATTTGATACCAGTTCAGAAATTTGTAGGAGGGTGGGGAGGCAGAGCATGGTGGCACCCATCATGTCCCTCCAGACAGAGGGAGAGGTGACTCAGGTTTGCTGGTCCTCTCAATGTGAATTAAGGTGCCTGCGCTTTAAATTCCTTAACAGTAGGAAAGCAGCTAAACTCTTGCTTTTCCTGGACAGCCATGGCTTATTGCTGCTTGAACCTCTCCTGGCTTATTGCTGAGAGGTCACTTCCCGGCTGTCCCTGACTGTATTTACCAGGCAGAGAGAGTCAGTATCCCTTACCAGCTCCCCCAGGCAGGGAGTCATACAATCATAGAACTGTTTAGGTTGGAAAAGACCTTTAAGGTCATCAAGTCCAACCGTTAACCTAACACTGCCATTCCCACTAAACCATGTCCCTAAGCATCTCGTCCGCCTGACTTTTAAATACCTCCAGTCAGTATCCTCAAGGAACTTTCAACTCAGAGGAGATCCTGTAGTTCCCTTTGGTTGGAGAATGGTGTACAAAACACCAGGTCCATAGGTAAACAAAGGCTTTTATTCCATAACTAGGCTCTTTAGTAGCAGAAATGCTTATTGTTCACCATGCATGTGGGATCTATGCCTTGTGTTATTTTTTAGAGACACAAAAGGCAAAAGAGTAAAACAAAAGGGGCGTGGGGGGGGAGAGAGAGATCAGTCACTGGTCTGGGTTCTAGCACTAGTCCAGCCAACAGGGGGTGCATCTGTCTTCAAGTTCCCCAGTCCCTCAGCTTCTGGGCGGCTTTTATCTGTTTCTTAGGCACCCCCACCTACTGCTTCATGTGCTAAATGGAGCGCATGCTCTGTCTGGTGGTCTTTTGAGTTGGTGGGTGTATTGAGTCGATGGTCGCAATCTCACCCTGCCAGAATTACCTTTGGACTGAGAGTTGGTGGCTTGTCACTCAGACCACCCTCTCTGCTATGTCAGCAGTTCTTTTATCTGTGGAGTGTTTGAGACATGTCTCGGAAGGGCGCAGGGTGTCTCTAACTCCTGTTCCCTTATCAAGTCCTGTCCTGTTATCCGCGTTCCTCAGAACAAATGCTTCTTTGTGTCAGGGGTTACAAGTTAGTCTTGGTGTTAGGTCTTCCAGCTGGTCTCCTACAGCACCTGAATGTTCGTTCTAGAGTACTGAAGCAAAGTACTGTTGCAGGAATAAGAGCAGAACTGAAAATGTGTAAGGATGGATTAATTATGCTTATTGCATTGCAGTCGATGAGCTCAGGCAGCAGTAGATTGCTAATACATGGTTAAAAACAGCTCTGCTGCCATTTTGCAATCAAGAGAATCGTCAAAGCAACCTAAACTGTCTCATGTTCTCTTGAGCTCTAAAATCTGCAACTATATTCAGGGAAACATATGAAATCCTGTTTACTGAACATAACATATATAACTTAGTCTTTTTCAAGATATTTCCTAGAGTTCCTATAGACTGGATATCATTAGTGACTGCTGTTCCATGCTTCCTGTAACCACACCCAGGCCTTGGGGATGGTCTGCTATATTCTTCTGTTTCTGGGGTTTTTTTTCTGTATCTGCCTCTGTACTCTTGTTCTCTGTTATTTGTAGACGTTAAGACCAAAGCAGCATTGAATGAGGGACTTTAACAAGAAAAAGCAGAGCTGTCCAACTAGAGAGCATAAGGCCTAGTTTGGAACTGCAGAAATTTCCCAGGCAGCATAAAAAGAATCTTGTTTGATGACAGGGGGGGTTTTGTACACTTGAAAAATGCTGTTTAATTTGGAAATATGTAAAGAATGCCCAGTGAGGGATAAATCAGTATTATGTAGTATGGGTTTCAATGCATTGACGAAAATTACGAACGATCTATTTCCAAAAAGAAACTTCAATATAAGCTTTTAGTTTTTCTTTTTCAGAGGTTGCTTTGCTGGAATCTCATTTCTAGCAAATCTTATGTTGTTTGCACCTACAGTTTTTGATCTTCTGTCCATATGCCAGCTGCCAGGAAAACACCAAGCCCACAAATTACTGATTAGATACACAACTCAAAGAACATGAGCTGCTACCATTTGGAAAGCTCAGCGCTCTTTCCAAAGAGTTTGCCCCATTTGAACCATACCAGTTTTACATTCACTAATGATATATTGTATAGCTTGTTTGGCAACGTGGAGTTTATCATAAATAACTCTTTTGTTCAGTTCTGAAGTCAGGTTAACAAATGTAATTACAGTTACTTGTCATCAGAGGTCATGTTTTTCAATACAGAGATGCAATGCCTTACAAATTTTCATCAAGAAACTATTTAAATCAGCTGCCCATAAGAAACAACAGTGTGATCATGCTGTCTCAAAAAAGCTTTTCATCAAAGGTTAGAAATAATCTTTGGCATTCAAGAGACAGTGATTTTTGCAAAGAAGCCGAGCAGGCCACATTATCTTTACAGTCCGTGTGCCAATTTGCTTGGGTGTTGTTTCTGGGTTTTGTTTTGTCGTCGTTTTTTTTTTTTTTCTTTCTTTCTATCTCCCCAGCTTTCAGGCAGCAGCATCTGTTTTCTGGAGGGGGGAAAAGAGCACTGTCAGGAAATTCTTTGTAAATATTGTGATAGATTATGCCTTTTTCTTACTATGCAAACACAGTTTAGGCTCTGTCAGCCAAAGCTTCAAAATGGAGAGCCTGTATCTTGCCTCCCAAACCTATAATTTGGCACCTGTATAGGAATGGTGTGGTTTTTGGGGACTTTGGACACTCCACACTTACCAGTCTGGGCATATGATTGGGAAAATCTTTGAAAAGCATTATCTTTTCTGAAGAACATCGTGTTGTGTGACTTTTTTTCTTAAATGTATTTTTTATTTTTAAATTGTGCTTATTCCATTATTGTGAGTATGCTATTTAGATCCAGCTCCAAAATCCAGACACATCAGTGTCGGTGTAAATCCATCTCTTCACTTCAGATGGTCAGAACACAAATGCACATCAGGAGGAAAGACTTGTAATGCCATAGAGTGTACAAATAGGTCCCAACTCTGCAAAGCCTATGAAGTCTAGTTTTGAGTAGCTCCATTTAGGGAAGACGTGTGACTAATCACTGAAATCAAGTGCCACATTTAACAAGGCTTCTTGCATCTGAGATATATATCTGCAGAGGTAGTTCAGATGTTTTTTTCAATGTAATGTGTTCCATTCTTCTGTGCAGACATAACCTAACCTCAGTTGCCATATCTAAGGTGCAGAGTTGAGAAATTGTCAAAGCTGCCGCAAGACTGCTCTCAGAACCTCTGTTTATGGTTCATGTAGTTCAGTCTCCAAGCCAGCATTCTTTATTCAAGGGACTTTATTTCTAAATAAACCAGAAGCTTCAATGGTGTTTGGTAGTAGCAACTTTTAGGTAAATATAGGCAGAGGCTGCTTATTTTACAATTTCAAGTCTTTGTGCTTTTCCTTGATTCCTTAGACTAGGCTTTTTATTCTCTGAATCAGTGGATGTAAAATTGAAATTAACATAGAAAAACTATTACAAATTATTTGGAATGATGTGCTTTGCAGTTGGCGCAACTCTTTTTGTATGAGGTGCAGATAAATTCTGAATTATTCAGTCAAGGTTAACTCACTTAAGATGTATTTTATGAGCTCAAATCTGCAAATGTGTGATAGGGTGCACTGTTTGAGAGATGCAATCCATGTAGAGGATGTGATCAGAAAGGCTTTAATGAAGAACCTTCTCAGTCCTTGACAGGACATCATTCATCATTTCCTTAGTGTTAGCAAAATTATTGTGGGGTGTTTTTTTGATGGAACAAGAAATACTTTCCTGCGTTGTATCTGACAGTAAAAATAGATGTCATTTATTTGTATCTCAAATTTTGCCATATGAGTTAAACTTAATTTAAGCCTACACATAAAATATTGTTTTGTCTAATTTGCAATACTCTTAAAATTTTCTATTTCTGCTCTTGAAATTATTTATTACAATTGATAAAATACTTAGTGCTAGATTAAAAGTCTTCCCTGATGTATGTTTGTCTTGGCATTCTTTTTTTAAACTGAGCAGTGAACGCAGGTTTTCAAGAGAAATTTTATGGGTGTGTAGGGGGAGTAATTGAAAGGGAGAAATAGATGTTCTGGAATAATTTCTGCTGATCCTTTTTTTTACCTCTGTCTGCAGCGGCAGTATATACCACTTGAATAGTACTAGTGTAGCATACAGCTGGATACCAACGTTTTGACTAATGAATCTTGATATGTATGAAGTAAATTAAGTTTATACACAGTATGCTCTGCCTATGCTCATTTGAAATTCAGTTCAGATTTTGTTCATATCTTTGCCGACACTAGCTATTTTTTTATCAAGATGGTTGTTTAATAAAGGGAAAACACCCAAACTGTTTTTCTCCCCCCAGTTTCCCGCTGTTACTGCTTTAACATAAAGAACAAGAAATAGATGGTAATTGACTTTCCAAATACGGAAAGCCAACGTACTCCAAAGCACTTGTTTGAGAGCTGAAAGAGGAAAAATCAATAAGGAAATGAGAGATTTGCCATTTCTAGTACTCTATTACCTGCTGTGTAATAAGATCTCATCAAATAAATCTTTCACAAATTACAGGAGTTAAGTCTGCACTTTCCCAGCATCTCATGTATCAACAGTTTAACCATAGCTGAATGAAACAGTCAATACATTAAGCTCCAGTGCATGTGACTGGACAGATAACTATTGATTTTGGTGGAGTTTAGGTCAGGCTTTAGTAGCCAGAAAGATCAGAATTGGTCAGTTGAAAATGAATGATGGTGTAGGCCATATTTCCTCATTCATTTTCCTATTGGGGAGACGGAGAGAGAACAGAGAGGAAAGAAATAAAAAAAAAAAGGATGCAGCAAGGTTTGGAATTTATGGTATGCTGCTTTATTTGAGCAACATTCAATTAAGGATGATGCTTGTATTAGTGTAGGATAAACAGAAGGATTGTTTTTTTTTTTTTTATTTTACTCATTAATAGCATCCATGTTTACTAGAAGAATATAAGATAATATAGTAAAAGCATTAACAAAGGATTTAAGTGAGGATGATCCCAAATCATACCTTTGGTATTATTTTTGTAGCCTTAAGCTTCACTGAAGGGATGGAATTTAGCAAGTAGTTACCATCTCAGTTCCTGCTTCTTTTTCTTACGCAGAGAATTGGTTACTGGTCAGCTGGAACAAGTGATGGTTATATGTTGTTAATCTTTCCCAGACAGTCATTGTCTTTTCTCTATGTTTTTTTTTCCTCCTGGTGGTACAGAGTAATCCTTATTTTCTTGGCTGAGATTTGTTTTAAATACCTGTCTAGAAAGCTTTATAACTGGTGTAAAATTACTCCCGCCTTCATACGGCATTCATATTGCTGGATGCATATTGCTTGCAGTAAAGATTATATAGTGGGCTAAGTTTACTCTTGCTTCTGCTGACCTCAGTGAGGTTATTCTATGAATAAATGTGAAATTATGTTTGAATTAAGAAACAGTAATTTATTAGATGGTCAATCTAAATCACATTATTTGGGAGACTCACACCTGCAATGTTATCTCATTAATAGAATAATGAATGTTAAATAGAATACTGTTTTTCTATCAGACTGTTCATGATGTTTTTATGTGTTGTTTTCTGTTGAAGTACTTCATAATTGTGTTTATACTAATTTTCTATTGATAACGTTTTAATTATATGGACTCCTTTCCTGGCTTGCATTAACATGGTAGCACCTACAAATCTAATAAAATATCCATTCTGATAATAAATTGCAGTCTGACACAAAGCTGTTGGAATAAAAATATTCTA